TGACTCTGACTGGCCTTCAGGAAAGTTGGAGAGAGGAGAAAGGATTAACATTCTCGGAATGTTCCCGAGGATGCCTTTTCGAGGTGGGTCGTGCGGCACGATTTCAAAAAATTAACAAAGGGCATACATCCGAAAAATTCCTGTACAGTACTGGGTAGTTTATCTTGAAACTCTTCTTATACACCAAATAGAAGCAGTGACTGCACATGAACATTTCTGTTTCCTGTAATTTCAATGCAATGAGAGCAGGTTGGTGTACGAAATGATGCGCAGTGTTCCGTACACTAACTTGATTTTATTGTATTAACAGTTACGTAATGTTGGTAATTCTGGTGTGTACCTGCGGGGGAACCGTAACTACACGTCACGGAGCAAAATTTCAGCAATTCGCTTCTGGATGGACCCGGCATTCCACGCGGCGAAATTCGTTGTGATTGAAACGACTGCGGCGCCTGGCCCTTTGGGGCACAAGTTTGAAGTAGGGTAGATCAGTAGCATCAGCTGGCCTTACTTGTGCCCCAATGATAGGTGCCACAGTCGTTCACATCGGATTCGGAACTTCCACCGCGTCCATCCATGATTGGGCGAATGTACCCATACCCGTGCCAGTGTGAACTAGTGTCTGGATATTTGCGTGTCTGCGCGTGCTCTGTGTGAATTTATTGATTTCGGAGTGTCTGTGTCGGTATGTGAGTTTTTGTGTCTGACTGTGACTTCATCTGGGTATGTTTGTAGCGCATAACACTGTTAGTTTAACAAGAAATATCAGCATGGCGCTACGTGTTAATCCTTTATACCAGCACTGTATCGGCTAAGGAGTGTAAGATGGGCACCGGCCATCTGTACACTTTTATCCGGTTCTAGCCAGGGGATACAGTTTTTAAATAAGCCTCAGGAGGGTAGAGGCAATGGGATTGATGAGATTACTTTCTCGTGCAGAAAACATTTGCATATCCATGGTGTAACAGGGAGCTACACTAACACTGTGTTAATTCATTAGCACAATAACGGAGCTAGAAGACCCTGCAAGTTGGTCTATAAAGTTGGTCCCTCTGTTTATGCTGGCGATGAGTATCAGATTAGCGTATTCGCTGGAGCGGCAAGCGGAGAAGATCAGGCCTTTAACCTCAAACGATTATCTTTGTTTTACCGATCACTATGGTATCGTACGTTGTGAAGTAAGCAGTTAGTAAGCCAATCAATTCTGCAGGAAACATCCCGTGGTGGCGGGTTCTTGTTCAAATTGGGATGTTATCCGCGGTTTGACACCATAGGGCCATCCGGATGTGAGGTCAGTGTACTGGATGTGTTTCGTTCATTTCAGTAGAGGGAGGCTAATGTTCTACGAGAGACTTGCTCCGTACTCTTCGTCCAAAAAGGCGTCGTTCGTGTTGCTAAACATTTTACCGCAACTGTACTTTGATAGAATGCTTCAATATTTTCCATTATTCATTTGAGCACATTGAAATGTAAGATGTAATCGGTCTACAGTCCCTCCGGGCACCTCAGCTTCAGATGAATGCTAGGCTAGGTTGGACAAAATAGGACTCATTCCTTGAAAAGAGAAGGTGACCGTCAAAACGAGTGCAGTGGAGGGGGTACAAGGGCTCAGTTCACGATAAAAAATGGTTTATGAGATATCTCGCTAATGTAAATCTGTGTATCACATGTAGCGCAGTGGTTTTGGAAAGCGACCTAGATAGGGCGTTGCGAAAGCTCGGAGAGTGTCCCGTTTGTATCGCGAACGAATTTCAGAGGTTTTGTAGAGGCTGCACAATTTATTTATCCATTTATTGAAGACGTTGCATAAAGTAAGCTTGGAAAATAATTGCTACAACTGAGAGCACAACGTAACCTAGTAATAAGACAAGAGCTTGTTCTCAGGAAGGAGCTTGAAAATTCACGAAGGAACCCAAGTAGGAAGTTCAAACAACTGTCATGACCTATGGCGACAGTGGAAGGCACTTCCGCACAGCTTTGGCTTGATGTGGAGAGTAATGTGGACATGATTAGTCGCTTGGGATGATATTTCGAGCCGATTTAGACTAAACTTTCATTAAACTGACGCTTCGGCTGCTTCGAGCTTGGCATGTTTGGAAAACATGCATAACTTGCTCGCTCAAACCTTCAACAAAAACACCAAGGTTCTTCCATTAGACTGGGGAAACATTCGGAAGTTCTGATCGGTAGAGGACTGCTCACCTTGAAATTCGCCGCTAAAACAGGAGCACGATCACCCTCGCACTGTTTTTAGGGTGTAATGACTGATAGTGCGAACTTCCAGTACATCGAAGATTTCAAAGGTCGAAGAAGGTGCGAGTTAGCGAGTTGTGGCCACATACTACTTCTTGCTGCTCTTTTTGAAGTCTTCAGCCGTGATACAAAATATCTTGAGCTTTTGCGCTTCGCAATCTCGGATTCTAGCGCCAATATGGACGCTGAAACTCTAACGATAAATCTATATTTTATCGAACCCGATGAGCTTTAAAGAAGATGTACCTTCGTGACCTAGCCACCCCATTCTTTCCCAAGAAGAGGCCTGTTCCTCCTGTGAACTCACTCCTTGGACTTTGGTGTATTGAGTAGAAAACTTCGGCGCTTCTCTGCCGTTCCATTGCGAAAATATTCGGAAGACTGCGGAAGTGCCTATGAGATGGTTCTCATAGTGATTACGGATGTTAGCCTACCTCGGACCTCAGAACGTCGGCTCGAAAAGAGAGCACAGAGGGGAAAAATTAGCGTGCTTTTGCTGCGCGGGCATCATTCTCTGCGCAACAAGTCTCCGAGAATTCTAAAAAATTACTCGCTGCTACTTTTTCTCCTAGAAGTTGTGCCCTTTGAGTCCAGTGTCCGCATTGCATTGTAATTTCAAGTGTGAGCAATTCATCAGGTTCCAAATCCTTAGAATTTCATCAAGGTTTGTGATGAATATTTTGTAGTTTGCAGAGTTACCCCGGAAAAGCACCGCGTGAGAAATGCATATGCTTGCACCATGGATGCAATGGGCAGCTGTTGGTTAACAGGTACTGACCGCTAACACGTTTCCTTTAAAATCAGCACTTCTATCTATTTAATGAAACTTAAACAAATTTTTATTGTATCAGTCAGAAGGGGGAGTATACTTGCTACCGTATAGGGATTCACGTGGTCCCCTAGTTTCAGACTGCTATGGCCCCTGAAGCATCGCATTAGAACGCGAATCTCTGAAACGCGTAGTGATCAAACCCGCACGTTAAATCTATTTCATTTCATTCGACACGAGCTGGATAAAGAAAGACGAGTATAGTTTGCAGTAGCTGCTGCAATTAGCCTACTCCAGTAGATCACCTTGCATCTGCCTGTTTTTCTGTCACGAAATTGATTATCTGAAAAAGCACCTGCGGAGGTCGAGCCATGTTTGAGATGCGTTGGGCATAGGTAAGTACAACAGAGCACATGTCAGCTTAACCAAGCTCCGCCATCAGCAGGAGGGCAGGTACCGAAGTGGCTTTCGCCACATGCAAAAGTTCCAAGTTCATTCTCATGACAGCTCAGACGACGGGAGGAACTGGCAAAGATGATGAATTCTCAACAGAACGAATGATGGAAATCTACCCCGGTGGGCGGGGCGTGTATATGGTGGGCGGTACTTTCCGCCTAAACTGCTCAATCTAATGAAAAGATCAAAAAATTTATGGCCCCGTACAAAAACGCATTAGAACATTGGAGAAAATGCATAAAAACTGTGAAAGAAAGGATGCTTATGTTCTTGAAGTGGGTATGATTTAAAAGTACTGACGGTAGCATGCATTTGACAAAAATGAAAGCGCGATATATTTTGTACGTTTTTTGCTTTAAGGGAAATCCATCTGTTGTTGAACAACAATTCAAAGAAGGTTTTTGAGGCATCCTGAAATCCTGAACTATTTTCTCGAGATCAACCATGAAGCGCATCCGTATGAACAGAATGAAAAGCTAGAGGATTGTTTGAAAAGACAATGAAGCTTTTTCGACTCATGTCTTCAAAAGGAAAAGGAAGTTTCACAAGTCTGACGAACTTCATTCGCGAAATTGACAGAAACCGATACACTTGACATATGATGAAGGGCTCATACACGGTTAACACTAACGACTCTATACCCTATTTTCTCTGGTAGACTTTAATAATTTCAGTTCACCATACAATAAGTAAACGAGGACGCTGTGGCACTACACATTAATTGATTCACATCTACCATAAAAGGGATCGGGTTGATTTCCGAAAAAATGAGTAAGCAAACAGCTTCTTCTTCTCAATAGTCTTCAAGTTGTTTAGCAACTAAATGTAC